AACAGTATTTGAACATACACGTTTTATTCCGTTATGGCCTTTCACCGTGTGTGTGTGTGTGAGTGTGTGTGTGTTTGTGTGTTTGGTGTGTGTGTGTGTGTGGTGTGTGTGTGTGTGGTGTGTGTGTGTGTGTGTGTGTGGTGTATGTGTGTGTGTGTGTGTTGGGTGTGTGTGAGGTGTGTAGTGTGTGTGGTGTGTGTTGTGTGTTGTGTGTGTGTGTGTGTTGTGTGTGTGTGTGTTGCTGTGTGTGTGTGTGTGTGTGTGTGTGTGAGTGTGTGTGTGTGTGTTGTGTGTGTGTGTGTGTGTGTGTGTGTGTGGTGTGTGTGTGTGTGTGTGTGTTCGTGTGTGTGTGTGTGTGTGTGTGTGTGTGTGTGTGTGTGTGTGTGTGTGTGTGTGTGTGTGTGTGTGTGTGATGTGTGTGTGTGTGTTGTGTGTGTGTGTGTGTGCGTGTGTGAGTGTGTGTGAGTGTGTATGTGTGTGTGTTTCGTGTGTGTTCGTGTTTCATGAGTGTGTGTGTGTGTGTGTGTGTGTGTGTGTGTGTGTCATGTGGTGTGTGTGTGTGTGTGTCGTGATGTGTGTGTGTGGTGTGTGTGTGTGTGTGTGTGTGTGTGTGTGTGTGTTTGGATTAGCAGGCTTTTAATCTTTGATTCTGATTCTTGGCATTGTGAATCAGTTAAGAGTTGTAATGGCAGTTCAACGTGTCTTACGGTTGTTTGGCTGAGCTTCTCTCGGCCAGAGAGGGCAGTGCTGCCTCGGTTGTTTGCGGGCAGTTTGGCAATTAGCCTTCCGTGTAAGCTTTAAAAACTCTTTTTTAAGCCAACTTATGTAGGATGGCTAATTAATTCAATTCCCTATCTATGCCGGCACTGAACAGGTGTCATGAGCTCATGACAGCGAGAAAGAGAAAGAGAAAACAAGAGAGAGAGAGAGAGAGAGCTTTCTTTTTTCATGTTCCTTTTCATCTGTCATGAGCCGGGACGGTGACGGCGACCTTACACCGAGGAAGGAGTTTTCAGACCACAGCGGCTACCTCCCTAAAATGCCAGGCGGGTCATAGAGTACAGGAGCACCAGTGGGAACGTGTTACCGGTCCGGGTACCCTGAGCTGTCTGGCCTGAAGATGAGAAGGAACATGAAAAAAAAGAAAGCTCTCTCTCTCTCTCTCTCTCTCTCTCTCTTGTTTTTTTTTCTATCCTTCTCTTTCTCGCTCTTTCTCTGTCTGTCTATAGCTCGCTTTCTCTCTGTATTTTTTCTCTTTCTCTCTGTTTCTCTCTACATCTCTCACTTTCTCGTTCTCTCTCTTTCTCTTTCTCTGTTTTTTCCCCTCTGTTTCCCTCTACATCTCTCACTTTCTCGTTCTTTCTCTTTCTCTTTCTCTGTTTTTTCTCTCTGTTTCTCTCTACATCTCACTTTCTCGTTCTCTCTCTTTCTCTTTCTCTGTTTTTTCTCTCTGTTTCCCTCTACATCTCTCACTTTCTCGTTCTGTCTCTTTCTCTTTCTTTGTTTTTGTCTCTCCCTCTCTCACTCGTTCTCGTTCTCTGTTTTTTTTTCTCTCTCTCTCCCTCTCTCACTCGTTCTCGTTCTCTCTCTCTCTCTTTCTTTTCTTCTTCTCTCTCTCTCACTCGTTCTCGTTCTCTCTTTCTGTTCAACTCGTTCTCGTTCTCTCTCTCTCTCTCTTCCTATGTCCTGGTAAAGTCAAATGGCAGGTCAAAGCTAGCCAGGGTCATGTAGGTCCCAACGCATAGCATAGCATAGCACAGGTCCAAGTACTTAGCCTCAGTCTTTCCTTGTCGTAACCTGTACCCTGTAACCATCTATTAGGAAAATAGTAATAATAAGTGATGGAATAATTTTTCCTATTTTTAATTCTTATTTTATTGTATTTTATTTATCCATTTATTATTATTTTTTTTAGATTGAATTTGAATTTGAATCTGACTTTAAATTTTCATATATGTTACACCGAAAACCATTTTTTAAAAACCCTCTTGTTTTCTTCAAAGATTCCGCCAGAACAACAACAACAACAACAACAACAACGAGACATGAGAGCGGGAGAAGGAAAAAAAAATTGTGATGAAGCTAGTGTGATGTCCCAGAGCCAGAAAACCAATGAAAGAATCCAGGTTTCACCACCATTTCCGCCTGTAGGTATACCGTTAAGCGCGGTTTAAATTTGGTGATGATGATGGTTGATGATGATGGTGGTGATGTGATGATGAAATGGTAGTGATGGTGATGATAATGGTGAATGATGGTATGGTGATGAAAATAGTGAGTGGTGGTGATGATGATGGTGATGGTGGTGATGATTCGTGGTTGTGATGTCACAGAAAGCCAGGAAAACCTAATGAAAATATCCAGGTTTCACCACCCATTTCGCCTGTAGTATACCGTAAGGCGCGGTTTAAATAGTGGATGATGATGATTTGATGATGATGGTGGGTTGATGGTGATGATGATGGTAGGTGATGGTTGATGATAATGGTGATGCATGGTGGTGATGAAAATAGTGTATGGTGGTGATGATGTGATGGTGATGGTTTGGTGATTGTGGTGTGATGTCACAGAGCCAGAAAACCTATGAAAATATCCAGGTTTCACCACCATTTCCGCCTGTAGGTTAAATTGGTGATGGTGATGATGATGGTGGT